CCCTTTCTTTGCTTTATTATTTTGAAGACTCAGGGTAGCCAGAGATAGACAGATGCCTCCATGAGAATGTCTGCCAGTCCTCAAACAGCGCTGTTAAAGCAATTTACCCAATGAGAGGAAAATGTGTGCCTCTTCACTATGAGAACAAACTTAGCATATAACCGATATACAACGTGTTTAATGGACTGTGGATAATCTCCTTTTATCCAAGTGTAACTCTGTAACAATGACAAAATGTCAAATAATCCATCCAAATAATCCATGAGACTGACAGAGTAGGTTCAATACAATGAGGGTGTCATTTTACGCATAAAGATTTTTACAAAATAAATAAGGCACTTTCAGCAACAAAAATTCTTCACCTCTTACCTAACAAAGAAATATGCACAACACTGATAAAGACGTGTAGCCAATTCCTGGAAAATGGAAAGTAAACATTTTATATAACAGTAAATCTGACTCTTAACTTAATCCTAACAAGAACCACAATCTAAACCTGGCCATACACCTTACAACCATCACAAGACTTTCGTCTTGCGATGGTTGTAAGGTAATTAAAAAAACGTACGATCTGCCTATCTTGGACAGGCAGATCGTACTCTCGATCATCGCAAGCCGGCCCCACTGAGGGTCGTGCTTCCATTGACTGCAATGCTGAACGGCATTTGTCTTACGAGCAGGCCACAAACTCGTACGATTCTCGGCAGCTTTTCAAACATGCTCGTAAGACAAAAGACGTGCGACCGTACAGTTGAAATGATTGCACGCCTTCCATACACCTGCTGATTATCGTACGATCGCGGGATTTCCCGCGATTATCGTATGATAATCGGCAGGTGTATGGGCACCTTTACACTATGCCAGCCTTTATCCTTTCTTCAATAATACAGTCCTGATGCAAATTATAGGAGTACACGAATATCAATATTACCATTTTACTGAAAATGCCATACTCTAGGACTCTTCTAGGCCTTATTGAGGCTTATTTAATAAAGAGGTTGATTGTTTTCACTCAATAAATTGTAGCTGTGTTCCCAAAATATTAAATGAACTGGAATTTGTTTTTCACATGATTGGATAGTTAAAGTACTCTTCACTCAATGTTTTGAGTAAAGATTATCAACTCCTTTAGTAAACTCGCCTCAATATGTCAACAGTAAACCTTTTGGCACCAAAATACGAAGGTCATTTACTAAGAATGAAGCAGACAAAATCTGGGGCAGCTGTGTATAATGACCAATCCACTTTTAGTTTTCATTTTCAAAGCTTAACCAAACAAGTGGAAGAGAGAAGCTGGATGGTTACTATGCTCAGCTTCTGCAGATTCTGTCTGCCTCTGTTTTATTAAATTTCTTCATTTTTTTATAATTATTAGAGGTGACAAAATTGTGCTAAAAGATATACACCAAATCTGCAACTCATCTGCCTTCTCTTCCTTCTCCTCTAATGTGTATAGTGCAGGCTGTGTGTATGTCACTCACCATATTATAGTGCTCCTGCTCTTCCATCTCTCCTCTCTGCTCTGCTCACATCATAATCAATGTGATCTTGCTCATGAGAAGATCACATTGATTGTAAAATGAATAGCAACAGCGGCCACAAGATTATCATATTGTTGCAGATAACCTCAATCAAATCTATATGAGATTATTTTTGCCACCACTGTAAATCAATCCATGTTTATCCATCTCATAAGGGGCCCGATGTATGAAAAGTCAGTACTAAGAAGCATATATAAAGTCCAAACAAGGCAGTATGAGGGTCCAAAAAAAAAAAAACTTAACAATAGAATGGGTTCATAAACAAAAATACAGAACAGCCAATGCATTTCAGGGACTTAAATATTTTGTCAATTTGCTGAGGATATCTATACCCTACACAGCAAACAGTTAATCCCTGGTAATCTGTGCAATTCTTTAGTCCATAATACTACCTATCATGTTTAAGCCTTGAAGAAGGGGCAGGATTCTGAGCCCTCAAAATGTGTTGGCTGTTCTGTGTTTTCATATATAAAGCCATTTTATTGATAAACGTTTTTTTGACTCTCATAGTGTCTTGTTTGACGCTTTCATTGGACTATACAGTATTTATGGACTGGATTCTCATGTATGTGGGATGTCCCATTTTTGTTGAGAGCGGTCTCACCAGAGCCTTAGTGCTTTATCATGTTTCAACTGATCGTCTGAATATTTGAATCCAGCGCCTCACCTATGCTTGTTCCATTATCAAGAAACAGATTGACAGCTGAATTCATTAGGCCATAGTGATTGCAGACATAAAGAGCATGCCAAAGACCAGAAGCGGCAGGATCAGTGTGAAATATTTGAGAATATTTTAGGCTCAAGGGGACAGTGGCCGGAAAACTAGAGGAGGCAATTGTATGTGACATTGTAGTGGAGAGGAATCAGGGAGGAAATGTAGCACCGCACTAAGCATTGGAGTTGAAGTGTGCCAATGAGCCCAGGCGTTAGAGCCCTGCCAGGCACGGGTAGAAGGTATAAAGGAGAGAATATACAGTATATATTGGCTATAGTGTACCACGCATATAACTAATGATGTCCAGCCAGTAAAGAAGGGGCTACATGCAAATAATAACTTAGTTGGGACTAAATTAGTAAGAGATTTGAGCATGTTCACACAATAAATTGAATTAAATTTTACTTTAAAAATTCAATCATGTTCAGATGAAATAAGTTGACAGGGATTTTCTGTTCACATGTTTAAATAATTGAAATAAACATGAAATAAGTAGACTAGAATTTTGTGTTTACATGTTTGAATAATATAAGTAATATGTATATATGTATATGTGTGTTTGCACAACCATTAAAAAGGGAAAGCAGCTGTTTTGAAGGTGGTACAGTACTTTGTTTGATTAGTGGGTTAAACCATTTTTCATGTTTCCCACAGTCCATTATCATGTGTCTCATGCTGTGTTCCCACCACCTTGATCCCTTTAGTAAAAGTTTACAAAGCCTCAGCTTTTACCAAGGTAGAGCTTTGGTTTCAGCTGTGTTACTGTGAGAGGAAGTAAATGCTCAGGCCTTTGTTTGTGGCATTAATGTGATAAACTTGTGGTGTTGTTATCTCTCTTGTAGGTTGTGGCTCTGTATGACTACACTGCACATCGATCAGATGAGCTAAGCCTTCATCGTAGTGACATTATCCATGTGTTATACAAAGATAATGATAATTGGTGGTTTGGCATTATAGAAAATGGACAACAGGGTTATTTTCCAGCAAATTATGTGGCTACTGAAAGTAAGTTTATGCAGCCTTCCAATATAGGCTAATGTGGGTTTAACTGATTGTTTCTGGCCCAGACAGCTGACATTTACAAATGATTAATAAAGTAATACCACTTTTCCGTGTTTATTTTTATTTTTTGTAGTCCCCTATGATGAAGATCTCACTACAGCATCAAAGTCACATTTTACCCATTCCCAGGAAGTTTCGAATGCAGAAGGGCCTGAACAGAGTCCCCAAAGGGTAAATATATGTCTGTTTAATTACATTTTGACTATCCAGTTGAATTAACTAATTCAACTTGTTCCCATGAGGACAATCGTATTCTCATGTCATACTGCAATACAACTAATGCAAGCAAATACAAGTGTCCAATGAAAGCAAGCTGTATTTATTTTGTCCTGAGAGAAAACACATTGAACCTGCAGAATATGCCCAATTTGTGGTTTACATTCTAACCTAAATGTCCTCATAATGATGTGTACCTGAACTTTAAATATATTAACCTCCAGAAAATGGCCTTAGAGTTAGATTATAAACGTAATGAGAAAGATTTACTAAAGAATTTAAGAATGCTCACATAATAAATTGTGTGAATACTCACTTCAATTATCCAATCATGCGAAAAGCAAATTTCTGTTTACTTATTTAATCTACAATGATTGGATAATTGAATGAATATTCACACAATTTATTGTGTGAACAATCTCATCTCCATTAGTAAATCAGCCCAGATGTCTCATTTTCTGTTTGTAAACCTTTGTTGTACAAAAATATTTACTACATAAAGGATTTGCACTATAAATTAGGTAGCAGTAGTTATCTCCAGATGCAATGGGGGAAGTTAGGAAAACTGAAGCAGACCAATTCTGGAGCAGTTGCATGTTGCAACCAATCAGCTTCTCTTTTCATTTTGTTCAGTTAAGCTTTGAAATTAAATAGAGAGAAGCTGATAAGTTGCCATGCACAGCTTCTACAAATTTTGTCTGCTCCAGTTTTGATAAATTCCCCTCAATGTCTTTAACTGAAACTTTAGACAAAGTCATGTGGAGGGAAGGGGAGAGAGAGAGGAGGAGGAGTCGCTACTCTGACTCATTGGCTTGTGTGTGTACATTTCAGAGAGTTTACTCACAGCTTTTTTCCAGCCGGTGTCAAGGAGAGGCTTGAAAATGTGCTAAAGACCCTAAGGGCTTGTTCACACGACGTGCGGATTCTGTCCTGACCAGATCCGTTCGCTCCTGCACTAAAATGTATCCCTATGTGTTTTATGGGCTACAGTTCTCACGTGCGTAGTCCGTTCAGGTCACAACTGAAAAAAATACTGCATGTCACATTTTGTCCGGTCCGGAAACGCACGAACGTGACGAAAACGGACCGGACTGCAGCTAAGCAAAAAAAAAGTGAGCTCGCAAATCCTCATATAAACTCCAAAACTGACCCTTGGAGTCCCTGAGCCTCAAGATCGGGTGTACCCAATAATGACACCTCCTGCTCGTGCCGCGAACGAGCACATATAGGCGATCGGCGGGCTATGGACCCGCTGATCGCCTATATGTGTGACACCCGGTACCGGGTGTGTGCATTGTCGGGTCTTTTCTGCCCGTGCGTGCCCGCTAGCAGAAAAAAATTGCCGTCTGGAGACGGCAACCCGCAGATGCAGCAGTGCCGTCCGTCCGTTTTTCTACTACGGGCGGACGGCAAGAGGTTAATAGTTTTTTTTATTGTAAGATTACATAACAAACATTTTACATCAACAATTACATATTAAAATGATCACCAGCTTTACATACACAAAGGGAAGTGGTTGTTATTAGAGGGCGGAAGTGACCTCAGAGGAAGAATCTGCATACTGACTAAAAAAAAACCCCAAAAAACTGTCAGCGTCCGGACCGCGGTAAAAACGCACTGCATGCAGAGCACAGCGTCTGCAGATCTGGACCAGATCAGGACTGGAAAATCGTGTGAACAAGCCATAAAGCTCCACCTAGAGCCTGAAAAGTAGAAACAGAAAATAATTGCACAATATTTCATATTTACCTGGCTTAAAAACAAAAATGATTGTATTTTTGAGTCCTAACTATTATAATCAAAACCTCCCTCCCATCTATAAATACTGACAACATCCTGAAAGGCAGCTAAATAAATAGACAGTCAAATATATAATATACATAAGACTCATGTGTTCTGTGGTGCTCTCACTCTCTATGAAATAAAACAGAGCTTTAGTTGATGTGTGATCCCAATATTGTCCTCTTTCTGTATTGGTTTACAAACCTGTTAGGCCAGACAAACTAAATAGATGAACAATGACTAGGTGTTTGAGATCGTGTAGGAGGATTCTTAATCCCTTGAGCTGTATTCTCTGACATGTCTCATGAATATACCCCTGACTTTCAAATATTATGTGCTTGAGATACAAAAGCATATTTAAACAGAACAAATCAGGTATCCAAGAGACAGAATGCCTTGTAAAGGTGGGGTCATAAGCACTTAATAAAAAGAGACCACATACTCAATTAAGAGACATTATTCCAGGAGGTGTAAGTCAGCATATTTGATATCTAACAATAAAGCAGTAATATCAAGATTTCAAAATAGTAGACATTTGCGTAAAACAAAACATTTTGGGGTTGTAAGTAAGCACAGAACAGACCAGTACATTTCACAATAGTGTATAAAATTATGCAATACAGGTATAAGGCTATAAAAGGATGTATTTAGTTGTTTGTTAATACATGGACAATATTACATCTACAACTTGGCTGTGTTGTAGAGAAGATTACAGCAAGCCATGGAATTATAATGATGCACGCGAGGGCAGTCAGAAGTCTTACTACCGGTAAGAGTCTGCCCATCTTACACAAAACTGCTAATAGAGTTTGGAAAAGTACATGCAAAAACATTCAGGAACTTGTTGGCTTCAAATATTTTTTGTGTGGAATATAGTTCCCTTGAACATTTTGTTCTGTAAAGACTTAGCGTTTGATTTATGAATCATACGCCAAGACATACGTTGTCCGAATGTTGTTCTCATAGCACTCTTGCCACTAGATGGATCCAAGGAGCATAGGAAATTCCTATCCATGCAAACATTGGGCCAGCGTATGTCTTGGTGTTGATTCATAAATCATCCCCTTGGAGTTTGCTGCAGTCATTGGAGATTTCATTTATACAAACTACTGGACAACATACTTTTACTATGACAACAGGTTTTTGAACTTGCACAGTTATTAGGTTTTAAAAATGATGGAACTCCTAAGGAGAACTATGGGGAAAAGCCTTAACCCCATAGTTCTCCAGTTGTTATTCATTGGCCTGGGACCTGCTAGAAGACTCTAGCAGGTCTCGGCCAATAGGAAACAGTTGAGCAGAGCTAGCTGTCACTGCTAGCTCCGCCCAATTGTTTTTTTTTTAATTTCTTGTTTTTTTAAAAAAAAATCTTTACTTCTTTTTTTACATTTATTATTTATTTACATTGTGAAACCTTTTTTTTTCAACTTTTTTCATTGAGTTACTATTCTGCCACGCAGGTACCGAGCAGAATAGCCGAGCTAGGCGGCATTCGGCTATCCACTCACTGCCGTTCGGCCACTATGTGAATAGGGGCGAACGGCAGTGAGTGAGCTGTCGGCGCTTCGGCTCAGCCGATCCAGATGTTGGATCGGCTGAGTCGAACTCCTTCTGTACTTTGGCTCAGCCGAACATGCATGTTCGGCTGACCAAAGGGCAACCAATGAACGTCTGAAATCAGCTGTGCAAGCCTGAAGTGAATAGCCAAACAGCGTTCGGGTGGGTTACTCACTCGGCTGCTTTTGGCAGCTTTGTGAATAACAATGTAAATATTGATTTTATTTGGATTTCTCTTCTTTACATTTACTTTCCAATTTGTGAATTGATAAAAATTATTAACACTTTTATTTCTAAAAGCATTCTTACTTTACAGCATTTTGTTCACACCTGTGTACAACTTTTGGGCAGTACTGTATGTTGCACTGCAGCATCTGCACTTCCCATGTCTTTGTTCACTTGGTCTAGCTACAACATCATTAGTGTGCACTGACATAATTAGGGTTGATGCATTTGGTGGAGTTTTTTTCCAGGTACACAAAGTAGGATGATGCCTGAGCTGCTTTAGGATTAGTGTCATTGGTTGTCAATTAGGGGCCTCTGTGCATGATTCCCATGGGTATAGAAGGAACAACCACCCCTTTGAGTAGAAATATGTATTAATCTTTGTAAACCGCATTCTGGTTTTTTTTCCAGTTCTAACCATCCCACATCAGCTAAACGTCCATGTGTTATATGGCCAGGGGTGCATGGTGTCAGGGTAGTATGGCATTTATCATGGACAATATGTTCTTAGGCAGCTGAGATGGTCTTGTATGAATGCTGGTGGAACAAATCTAGATTTTTACTTTATTGTATTTATACATGCTGCTTATCTGCATTTGGTGTGTAAAACCACTTTTCTGTTTGATTTGACAACTGGAGTGTGTCATCTCTTACCTTACCAACTAGGCATTTTAATAATAGTAGTAACTGTGTAGTGTTAGCATATCATGGTGAACGAGTGTTTTCCATTTTTTTAAAAGAGCTATATTTGTAGGACCACTAAGCCTTAACCACATGTTACCTGTCACCAATAATCTAATAATAACAATAAGAGTTAGTGAGATGTGAAAGTTTCCATACCTTGACAGATTTGAGGTAGGCACTTTATATCTTCTTTTGCGAAGCAGAAGTGTACCAATTTTTGTTTTCACTCCACTCAGGACAAGCAGCCCCCAACATGCAGATCTGAGTTCACTTTGTGTTGATTCTTGACCTTTAGCCACCATTTTCACCTAAAATATCTTTAGTTCTTATACATGCCTAAAACATTCATGGTATTGGTATATTGTCTGTTAGCACAAAACAAATCTTTAGTTTTAACATCCTTTGAACTAAACTCATTATATGCTATAAGGTAATTTTGTGGGCAGGGTCCATACTTGGAGCACCAGTGTGGAATTGATATGTGTTAACTTGCGTCGAGCTTTGCTTCAGTCTAAACTTGAGTTTGTCTGAGCCCAAAAAGGAGGCTCTCAGTGCCAGCCCAATCAGCTGAGGCCAGTGATTTTCCTACTCAATAGCTGCACGTAAAGAAAAGAGTGGAATACTAGTGACATCATTGATCATCTATGGCCACATGGCATTATTCGGTCAATGATATTGACTTAATGTCTCCACTCTCTATTGTATAATTTGGACAAGAATACACAAAGGTGGGCAAGAAAACACAATTCAAAGGTGGTCTGGAATTAAAACAGGGAGCTCTCACTGTTGGATTTTCCAATATATTTAAAAGCTAAGGCCTTAGTCCACCAGTCGCCTCCAGACATAGTGAGATGACCTTGCCTTTTTCAGGGGAATTAGATGACTATTTCATGTCCTCTTTTGGGAAGAAAGTTTTCTCCAACAGGTTTGCAAATCTTATGTCACCCTTGCTAACAGGTATGGAGTGTCAGTGGTATATACATAAAAACAAACTACAAAGTGCTTATGGTGTATGTAAATCCTTGCAACAAGCTTCTCTTATTTGCTCCCTTTTTGGTCCGTTAACAACTTCCCTACCGGCCATAGTAAAACTAGCCAGTAGATGGAGTGGTTATTCTGAGTGAATGTACCTGTATGATCTCTTGTAGTTACCTTTGTGTGTGCACCAATGGCGCTGTCATAAGACAGCAGAGATCATTGGGTACAGGCATAGAGCTGATCGGACCGGCTCTCTGTGTTGTGTTTGCTGTGATTGGTCATCAAAGCAATCATATGACATTGCTAAGCCCTCCTCTTCCTCTTACAACAGAGGAAAATGAGAGAATAAAAAAATAAATAAATGATTCATTCATTCACTAGTACCTGATGAAAGCAAAAAGCAGCCGCAGCAATAAATAATAATTTAACGCTCCATCTTTTAACCCCTTAATATCAGCATGTATCCTCATTTCCAAAAACTCGTGACAAAAAAACTAGACCACCTTTGGGTGCCCTGGGTTCGGATCAGACTCAGACTAGGGAGCCTTATCTGTATATATTTTGTAGGTTCTCTCTGTATGTTCTTGCATCCTTTATTACAGGAAACATCCTGCTAAGTTATTTGATGTCTGATCAAATTGACCTTTGCTTGCATATGTGGTAGGAACATTACATTGCATGCTCTTTTGGGGGCAGGAACTAATGTCAGTGGTTCTGCATGCCTGGTAAAACACTGTATTATGTCATGCAAATACAGAAAATTAATTACAAAAATAAATGCTTGTCAAAAACTAATGACAAATCAGAATGTATTATATTTTGGTTGGTGAACAATGAAAAAGAAAACCCTTTCTAAGAACAGGATGAAGTGCGTTATATCCTTAGCTACATGGTGCACTAATGATATCAATAATAAGGCTTATGTCATATCACTATTGTCCAGCTACTTTGATTGTAAATGTCATGAATATGTAGAAAATTACTTTTTTCATCTTTCCTTTTCTTGTTTGTGTTGTGTGGTTAGTTGCAAAGAGTCCCCTATTCAATGGTATAGGGCCAGGTGCAAGTAAGATTTTGCTTTTGTACAATCTGTAGTGCTTGCTTGTCACCTGAGAATTGCTTGTCTGAGGTAAAATGGGGCCTGAGCCTGCTTCCTTCCTTGTAACCACATAACAATAAACAGACCCCAAGCGAGACCACGTGTTGGAAATGGGGTATATTCTCCTTTTACCCAGGAAGCCGGTGGCTTTGTGAGATACAAAGAATTGGCCTTTCTTCTCTCTATAATGTGTATTTCTTGTTTTTTTGCAGATGTCGGCGGTCCCCAGCAAGTCAAAGGATCTGAAATTTATGTCACAGCATGACACAGATGCAGATTCACCTGTGACACAGTAAGAAACATTGCTTAAAAGAATACTTCTCATGTCTTTCAGTGGTGCCAACTAATATTCCCATGGAAAGTGCTTCATTATTTATGCAGCAATTAATCCTAAACAGATCACTGCCAACTATCACTCCAGAATAATACTTTTTTGGCATATTTAAATTATAAAATTTTTTTACTTCTACAGTATTAATTTGCATTTACTAATGGTTGTAAATATTTTTACCTTTTTAAAGTGTTGTAAGAGGAAGCAATAAAGATTTTTTTTTTTATTGACGTGTATACATCATGTGCTCCAATCCTTAATTAACTTTATGTTTATTACGTTATGTACATATGCTCAACTTCTGAAATAAGTTAACTTATTACATGAAAAGCAGAAATAAATGAGATAATTGGTTATCTATGGGATTCGTCAGGCAGAAACTATTCACTATATAAGACAAGCTTGTGTGACAAGAAGCTAAAACATTGTATTACAATAATCTCTTGCATTTGTCCAGTTGCAGTCAAAAAGTAATGTCAGATCTACATCCTGTTGATACATATCGTCATCACTCTTGCGTGTCTACTTTCTTTCACCTATTCTGGGCATATGTACCAGAGTATTTATTAGTTGGTCATTAATGGTGAGGTTCCCCCTTATATTGGTGCTCAGTGGGAAAGTTCTACCTTACATTGGTGCCCAGTGGTTAAGTGCCCCTTTATATTAGTGTCAGTGTGGTGTCTCCTTACATTATTGGTCAGTGTAGTGCCCTCTTACATTGGTGCTCTTGTCTATCAGTGTTATCTAAATAGATCATTGGTGTTGTTACTTATCTGATAGGAGAGATTCCCCATGTTAAGCACTGTGTAGTGCTGGCAATTTTTCCTGAACAAAAATCACATTCAGTTAGAATTGTGTTTGTTCAAATAAGAAGTTTTTCCATCCTGCTCTTTCGAGTTTCCTCCTCACTACGGTCGAAAAGAAACGCTGATTAGACTCAACTAATAATGTAAAAAATTTAACAAATGTTCTGAAAACTAAAATTGTCAAACAAAATTCTACTGGTGCATGGCCAGCTTTAGGGGTTAGCTAGACTGTGGATTTGTGTATTTTTATCGGTTTAATATTAATTTGAGAAACATTTGCGCAATTATCGCAGGGCCTACAAATTTAGTATCACCATCTTTTTATTCTACCGGGCCTGCGCTTTCAGAAAATATATGGTTTGGGGGGTCTTTTACAAACGCTAGCAACGCAGCAGTTGAAAATCAAACCAATAGGAAAAAATTGCAGAAAATTCAAAAATGGCTTGGCCAGCTGATTTGAAAAATGTTCCAGGGGGCTTGGCAGCGAAAGGGTTAAAAGATACTCCTGCCACACACTTCGAGCACTCATCAATCTCTGTAGCAACAAAAGGACTTGTTACTTCTCTGCTGGTGCTTCTACTTTCTGCTGTGTAGTGGACATGTTTTTTCCTTGTTTATTTATTTTCTATTATTGGACAGGTCATGCGCCCAAAGGCTGCTTTGGTGAAAGGCAAAAGTCAAGCTATAAGTAGTTAGTGTATAAAAAAAATAAGGGCTACTTCCTTTGGTCAGTCTACTGAAGGTCTAGAGGAAGTAATTAATGCAACCTAGAAGAACAGGTTTTTCTTCAATCACAAAGAACTCTCTTCTACATTCAATTGTTTCATGCAGTAATAAAAATCAATTTCTCTACAATGTATATTTTTAGAGTTGAGCAATATTTTTTTACTGGCCCGTTACAATAAACGGCAATTTTTTGAGAATAGCTTACATGGTACAATAGTCTGGTATTTTGCAGATTGTCTCCTATAAATAAACATTGTCCATTATATATTCCAAAACAAAGCACTATTTGCATCTAAAATGGCTTTTTAACATAACCCTATTATTATTTTATGAAAACTGATGTACCACATCAGCGCCACAGAATTAGCATAGCTGCCCTTTAAATATACACCACTATAGCAGGCAGCCCGTTAGCAGTCAGGGAACTGAAAAAGCTATAAAAACAAAAAATGACACCTGCACTAGTGTAAAATCATTTTATTTAAAATATTGTAAATGAACATAAATCGTACTCACAAACGATGGGTTTTTATCGAGTGCCAGTGAACGAGGTAAACTGTTCCACACTGGGAACAGCCTATACGTCTCTCCGTCCGACCACTAATGCCCTCCTTCATCAGAGCATGATCGGACAGAGAGACTGTTCCCAGTGTGGAACAGTTTACCTCGTTCACACGGCACAGCCGCATTTGGCACTCTATAAAGACTCATTGTTTGCGAATATGATTTATGTTCGTTTGCAATATTTTAAATAAAACGTTTTTACACTAGGGCAGGTGCCCTGTCATTTTTTGGTTTTATACTTTATGAAAACTACCATGTTTTCCATTATAAATATAAATGTATGGACTATTCATGCTTCTGAAGGTTTTGTAGCATTCTGGGGAAATTCAATTCTCAGCAGCCTGCTGTAGTGTTTCCTACATGGTAAAAGGTAACAGGTGCCATCTGAGTTGTATCATTCAAATTATATTTGGAGATCTTTACAGCTCCTTCATTACATCAAGTTGTTTCATGTATTTGGCTATGACTGCGATATATGAAAATATCTTCCTATAGTTAACATTAAAGATGTGTTTAATCTATTACTCAAATGTGCCTTCATTGGGAGGTGTCTGCAGTAAGCTGTTGCTGCTGATTCAGGATGCTACCAGAAGCCACAGGCTTAGTGTATCTAAACCCAAAAGCCCAAATGTAATATATTGCAGCTTACCAGTCCTTAAATGTGGTGGCTGCTTTCATTCTTTTAATTTTTTTCCAGGATTTGTTTTTCTCTCGTTTCACCTAGTATTCCTGCAAATAACACACTTCCTCTTCCCCTGGACTCTGTTCATCTCTACTACATAGTGGATCGATGGAACTAGTAGTTTACACAATACAGATTTAAAGAATAAACATTTGTTTGGTTAATTTGCTTTAAAGTATTCCTGTCATGAAAGAAATATGGGAACTGCAATTGCTGGCTTGCTTTTCAAAATGTTTGTTTCCTGACTGTGCCTGGCTTCAATATTTCTAATTCACTGTGCCAAACCAAGCACACATCTAATTAAAATTAAAGAAAAGTCAGAATTCTTCAAGTTTATTAATTTGAGAATCCTTGAAGCAAAAGCATCAGTATGGCAGCCAGGAAACTAGCAACCCCAGGTTGCTAGGTCAGCCATTCCAGCCTACCTATCCTATTTCTGTTACACATTTGCTGGCCTAACTCCAGCCAATTTCTTGTTTTGGATAAAGTAGGAAACAGTTAAAAGTACTGCCAAGCATTATCTTCTCTATCTGTTTTTCCTCACATCGGCCACACCCATACAAGGAAAGGTAGGGGGGGGG